TCTTTAAAAAATTTAAAAATAAGGATACCATAGGGGATGTTAAATTTCTTGAGATACTGCATACTATAAAAATTCATCTTTTTAAAGTGTACAATTTAGTGGTTTTTTAATATATCCAGAAGTTTGTACAACCATAAGTACTATCTAATCCCAGAACACTTTCACTGCCTCAAAAAGCAATCCCTTGGGGCTCCTGAGTGGCTCAGTTTGCTGAGCTTCCAACTCAATTTCAGCTCAGGTCATGATCTCAGGGTCATGGGATTGAGCCCTGCACTGGGTTCCATGCTGAACAGGGAGCCTGCCTGGGATTCTCTCTCTCTCCCTTTGCTCCACTCCCCTGCTTGTGCATGCAAAAAAAAAAAAGAAACCTGTGTAACTATTGGCAGTTGCTTCCCATTTTCTCTACCCCCAGGTCCCTGGCATTTGCTAATCTATTTTGCCTATTCTGGACATTCATATAAATCAAACCATTCAGTATGTGGCCTTTTGTTTCAAGCTTCTGTCACTTAACACAGAAATACAGATTTAAGAAACAAACATTGAGGGATCAAAGGAGAGTGACACGGAATGGCCAGAGGCAAGAGGGTCACACGTGTAAGCTGTCAGTACCTAGTTTCAGTCCTCTTTCACTGGTATGACTAATAATGGTGACAGGGCTGTACTGACATAGTACTTTATGGCTCTAGATGCCTTTTTTACAGTCAGAAAAAAAAATTAAATTCTTATTAGAACCCACATTTTCTCAGAATGCATCTATCATTTAGTTACTACATGAGGCTTACATATCAGGATTTCTCTTTCATAATCTAACAACTAGATTCCAAAGTGAATAAATACTCAATTATGTAAAAATTATATCCATAACCTCCATGTCAACAATTAGAAGGATTTTCTGCACCCATTTCTAGGTTGCAAAGTAACCAAATATCCTATATACCAGATTCAGGTACTATCTGGAGATGGGAACCACATATAGAGGACCTATTATGTGTTGTATAACTTGCTAACCCCTTTACTTCCATTATGGTTGCTATGAAAATTAAAAAAAGGCATGAGCCGGGGCGCCTGGGTGGCGCAGTCGGTTAAGCGTCCGACTTCAGCCAGGTCACGATCTCGCGGTCCGTGAGTTCGAGCCCCGCGTCAGGCTCTGGGTTGATGGCTCAGAGCCTGGAGCCTGTTTCCGATTCTGTGTCTCCCTCTCTCTCTGCCCCTCCCCCGTTCATGCTCTGTCTCTCTCTGTCCCCAAAATAAATAAACGTTGAAAAAAAAAAAAAAAAAAAAAAGGCATGAGCCTCATTTTAAAGATGAGAAAAATAAGGATCTAAAAGAGAACCTGCTTATCCACAGTAATATAACTAATAAAAGTAGTATAAAATATACTCATCTAGAGATCATGACAGAAAGCTTCTCACTTTCTGAACTTTATCTAAAAACAGACATATACCAGGTTCCTGGGTGGCTCAGTTGGTTGAGTGTCCTGCCTCTTGATTTCGGCTCAGGTCATGATCTCACAGTTCATGAGCATGCAGCCTGCTTAAGATTCTCTTCTATCTCCCTCTGCCACTCCCTCACTCTCACTCTCTCTCTCAACAGCAACAAAAACTAAACAAACCAAAAATAACCACCAAAAAACAAACATACCAGTAAGAGAAAAAAACGAAAGAAGAAAAAGTTCTAGAAATTACAAAGTTCATTGCTTCTGTACCATAAGGTCTCTAATTCTACCATATTAATACCATTAATACCTAACATTTTTATTCTTTAGGATGTTCTAATCACCTAATCAGCCTGATTACATTATCATCTAACTCCTCCAAAAGGTGTTTCAGCCTCTTTCCCTTTCTGCATATACACCACACACATATCAAAAACCCAGTGATTGTGACTAAGGTAAACACAACTATTCTTAGTCTCATGGATAATCCTGGGCAATGGTGGCATTGCAAAACAAACACGTCCTGTAAAAACCCTCCTCCTGGTGTGTTCTAATTCCTCCCAGACTAAGCCCCTTTCACCAATGTTCTTGATCCCATTCCCTCCGGAACCGTGCTCCCCACCCATTAATCGTACTCCCTGGGGCTATACCTTGGCTTTTCTAACCTAAAAAAAAAAAAAAAAAAAAAAATTCCCCAATCCTTTTTGACCCTTGGACCACTGTCTGACTTCTTTTTCCTTTTACCTCTAAACTTCTTTAATTACCTGCCTCCTTTCCCCATTCAACTGATATTGCTAAGGAATTAGACACTTGTTAATTGCCAAATGTAGTTGCCTCCTTTTAGGCCTCTTCTTGAGTTTTCCCCACCACTCACTGATGATAAGGTTTCTTTAAACTTTCCTCCCTCTAATTCTTTAATCTAACTTTCACCCTATTATCATCCCACCTTTCTGATAGTTTTTTTTCCAGTCTCCTCTAGCTCTGATGTTTGCCCCTGATGTATGTATTGCACCTGCTTACACGTTTATCCTTCTTTTCAGTCTATGCCTACATCATCCAATACAGTATCCATTAGTCAACACAGTTATTTAAACTTAATTAAAACTAAATAAAAATTCAATTCTTCAGGTGCACTTAGCCACATTTCAAGTGCCCAATAGCTCAACAACTTAAAAGTGGCTAACGGTCACTCTGAGCTACAGAATATTTCCATGAAAGTTCTATCGGACAGTGATGGTCTATAAACTCTCTTTTCATCCAATAAGTTGATATTTATGGAAGGCCTATTGTGCACCAGGCACTGTTCTGGACCTTAGAGATAGAGCACTGAACTAAACAAAGTCCTACTCTTCATGGAGCTGACATCTAATACAGGAGAGAGCAAATCCCATTTATTCCCAAATTGTCATATGCTGAGGACTCCTGACACCTCTCCTGGGCTCCAAACTGGAATTTCCAGCTTCTACTAGAATACTATAGAGTATTCTAATCTGTATCCTACACTGAACTCAGTATTTTCCTTTCCCTCTAAAATTTCCTTTTTCTGTATTCTTTTTTTTTTTTCATTATTATTTATTTATTGAGAGAGAGAGAGAGAGAGAGAGAGAGAGAGAGAGAGAGAGAGAGAGAATCCCAAGCATGCTCCCCACTTGTCAGTGCAGAGCCCTATACAGGGCTTGCTCCCACAAAGAGATCATGACCTGAGCTGAAATCAAGAGTTTGAAGCTCAACCACTGAGCCATCCATGTGGCCCACCTTTTTCTGTATTCTTGACTTCTTAGTAACCCTGGACTTTTTCTCCACTGGCCTACCACATCCAGTCACCAAACCTTGTTGAATTTATCTGTGTTCAACCTATCTCCTTATCCTTGCTACCAGTGCCCTATCGATGTCTTGGCCAAAAGCCTTCAAATTACTTCTCTATCTCTGATCTTTCCTCATTTGCTTCATGCATATCCTAGTTCATCCTAGTCCATCTGCCATTAAAATTATACTTTTTTTTTAAAGTTTATTTATTTGGGGGGTGGGGGGGAGAGAATGAGAAAGAGAAACCCAAGCAAGCTCCTGGGAGAGCCACATGCAGACCTCAAACTCACAAACTGTGAGCTCATGACCTAAGCTGTAATCAAGAGTCTGAAGCTTAAGAGACTGAGCCATCCAGGCACCCCTAAAATTATACTTGTAAAACACAAATCTGATCCTGTAATTTTTCTGCTCAAAAACCACCAGATGGAGGTGCCTGGGTGGCTCAGTCGGTTTAGCAACCTACTTCTGATTTTGGCTCAGGTCATGATCTCACCATTCATGATCTCCAGCCCTACAAGGGGGCTCTGCACTGACAGTTCAGAACCTGCTTGGGATTCTCTCTCTCTCTCTCTCTCTCTCTCTCTCTCTCTGCCCCTCTCCTGCTTGCTCTTTCTCTCAAAATAAATAAATAAACTTAAAAAAATATTACCAGGTAAACACCTAAAATATAAAACAAATCCCTTAGCACAAATCCAAAGCACTACACAGTTTGGTTGCTACCTACTTTCTCCTAATCTACTCTTCTGCTTCATACTGTACTATCCAGCGACACCAAATTACTAGGTCCCTTCAAAGAGCCATCTCTCCCAGGAATTATTTTCTATTTTCTTCACCTACATACACAAACACAAACACACACAACCTCTTCAGCCATGAAGGCGTGGTTCAAACGACACCAATCTCAAGTGTTTATCATCCCCCAATCAGTCTTAATTATTTACTCTACAGAACTGCTGTAGCAATTACACATAACGACTGCACATCACATTTTCAGAGTCTAGTGCCTGGGCTAACAGGATTAAACACTTCTCTGAACATTATATCTGTGTTACACAGAGAGACACATTTTTCGGTCATATTCGTGGAAACCTTTCCTTTCCTCGTAGGACTCCATTTCATACGATGTGGGTATTCAATAAATACTCAACAGGCCTGCGCGGTATTTTCTCACATTCGGAGCAAGCGTATCCATGCTGCCTGAATGAAGGCTCTGCCTGGGAAATTCTGAACAAGAAATTCTGGGTTCTTCTCCTTCTTAGGATTTTGGTCCCTTCATCCAAAGGACTACCGGCTGAACAGCAGTAGTGGCTCCAGTGTTCAGTTGGGCGGAAGACAGTTTACGGAGGTGAAAGGCTCGGGGGAGGAGGTATGTAATGAGGTGGAAAGAAACATTCCAATTGGAGAGAGAATGCAAAATTACCTCCCAATGAAGGGCCGACTTACCTAGAGAACCTCACCAACGCCTCACTCGCGCCGCTCCGTTTTCCCCCTCGCGTAGTGAACACGCTTCTATCCCACGAATTACCTCTTCCGGGACTCCTTGATAAGTTCCGGATCAAGAACCGCGAAGACAACAGTCATTCTTCCTCTCGTCCCGCCCACAGGTCCCGAACCTAGACCCGAACTGAAATCCCGCGAAGATCTTCGGAGGTTGCAGAAAAGAAAAAGGAACTTTTGTCTCTTGGAGGCGGTCCCCGGAGGGATGGGGGGTGGGAAACGGACCGGAAGTGACGAGAGCGAGTTCCGGTTGGCCGGACCCCAGCGGCGGGTGTGAGAGTCGGTCAGGAGCCGCTTCCAGGATACTGAGATCCGGAGAAGCCGGGGTCAGAGCGGGTAGGTAAACGAGCGCGTGAAATTGGGGACGAAAGCCTGAGACTGTCATCAGGGCTTGGCTTCTTCCGGAGCTCTCCCATTTAGATCATATAGATGTGGGGCACCGTGATTTCGACTTCAAGCAGTGTTTTAGGGCGCTGCTGACTCTGTCTCGGTCTGGCGGTAGCCAGGTTATCTGGGACACCTCACGGTTCACCCCGGTACAGTGAACCCATACACTGGATTTCCTATCATTCGCTCTCATCGTCGCGGACTTGGAAGCTCTTCTAAGCTTCTGTAGAGTACCCATCTCTTCTTCCTTCCCCGGTATCTAGAACCTCAGAGTAAGTGGAGAAGATCCTCCCTGCTGATGACCAAGCTGTTTCTCAGGACCTTTCAGTTTGGTTCTTGCCCTCCCCAGCCACTAATACATGATACTAAATGCATTCGCTTCTAAACAAAATTCAGGCGTGTAAGTGCCATCTAAAGCGTTGGTGGCCAAGGGAATGGGGCCTTAGCTCCGTTGATCTTTTGCAAAAACCCTTCACGTATATCTTACTACTTGATGAGGGGCAGGATTTTCTACCTCTTCCAAATTTCTGACACTCTCCTGGCCCCTGTTCTATTACAGCGGAGGTACTTGCAGTAAAACCTGGGGATCGGCTTAATCTCTAAAATTCCAAGAAGCCATATGTGGCCCTGTGTCACACTAAGATTACTTAATGACCTCCAGTAGGTTTAAAGTATTATCTTTGTTTTTATGCAGATCATGCAAAAATCTCATATAGGCTCTGACACAGTTTACCCATCACGGCAAGACACCTCCTTTTCTTAACTTCAGTGTCTTTCAATTCTCCTTTGGGGCTGTTGTCAGAAATTTTGTAGAGAGACTGCACTGACTGATCTTTTGGAGAAGTTTGTACAAGGATTTCTATGATGTAATGATAGAGAATTTAATGTTCTGACCGCTACTGCCTATTAATTGTATTATCATGAGCTGTGATTTTTGTTGTGTATTCTTAACATAAATGACAATGGTAAGAAATTATTTACCGGGAACATTTTATGCGTTCTAGATTATGTTTTTATTGATCTTTGGAAGAGGGATGGTAGTACCTAGACAAATACGGCCAATTTGTGTGGGTATGAAATGATTCTGTAGTAGAAATCTTTTATATTTTACTTCTTTGCCTATATTATTTTAAAACACTAAAGCTTTTTTCTTCCCTTTGAGAGATATATCTTACTTGATTAGTACAGTTCAATTTCTGTGACTCACATTCCAGAATAAAGGTTGGTAGGTTACCTAACTTTCTGAGCTGGTCTGGATTGTGTTGATAAAAGTACTGCTCACTTTATTTCATAGGATTTTCACAATGGTTAAGTGAGATAGTAAATGGGAAATCACTATATAAATTAAAATATGGTGATGGTGTCCGTTTACTCTGAAAGCTGGAAATATATCACTGCAGAATACTGTTGCTTTGTATCATTTCACAGTTTGATGTTTTATATTAAGTGTTACTTATCTGAAAGTATTATCACACACTTCTGAGATGATCTTTGCCCTAGTTTTGGACCCAATAAAAGCTACCTACGAATAGTTTCATACTGTAACCCATTGCATTAGTCATCGTGGTTAATAAGTAGGTGACTAGAAAATGAGTATAGTTTTGCATTTGGTAGTTTAAATCTGATCTTTCTTGGTCATCATGTATTGTCACTTAAGAATTTCCAAGTGCAAGGGTTTGCCTGGGTGGCTCAGTCGGTTAAATGTCTGACTTAATTTCAGCTCAGGTCATGATCTCACAGTTTGAGTTCGAGCCCTAGGTCAGGCTCAGTGCTGCTGGTGTGGAGCCTGCTTGGGATTTTCTCTCTCTCTCATCTCTCTCTCTCTCTCTCTGTCTCTGTCTCTCTGCCACTCCCTCCCATGGGTGGTCTCTCTCAAAATAAATAAATAGACATAAAAATTTTTTTTCCTAGTGCAGGGCACCTAGATAGCTCAGTTGGTTGAGCATTTGACTCTTGCTTTTGGCTTGGGTCATGATCTCACCATTGGGCTCTGTGATGGATTTGGAGCCTGCCTAAGATTCTCTCTCTTTCTGGGGCGCCTGGGTGGCTCAGTTGGTTGGACATCCGACTTCGGCCCAGGTCATGATCTCACGGTTTGTGAGTTCGAGCCCCTCATTGGGTTCTGTGCTGACAGCTCGGAGCCTGGAGCCTGCTTTGGATTCTGCATCTCCCCTCCCTCTGCCCCTCCCCTGCTCATGCTCAGTCTCTCTCTATCTCTCAATAATGAATGAATAAACGTTAAAAAAAATTAAAGAAAAAAAAAAGATTCTCTCTTTCAGGGTGCCTGGGTGGCTCAGTTGGTTGAGTGTCTGACTTTGGTTCAGGTCATGATCTCACGGTTCTTGGGTTCCAGCCCCGCATCAGGCTGTATGCTGACAGCTCAGAGCTCAGGGTTTGCAGAGCCTGGAGCCTGCTTCAGATTCTGTGTCTCCTTCTCTCCCTGCCCCTCCCCTGTTAGCTCTGTGTCTCCCCCAAAAAATAAAATAAAATGTTTAAAAAAAAGAGAGAGAGAGAGATTCTCTCCTCAAAAAAAAAAAAAGAAAAAGAATTTCCAAATGCAGAGGAAGTTGAAGTTTTTGGTGCTTACATATAGTTAACTAAAGGTTAGAAATAACATTACTTACTTCTATTAAGTAAAAAACGTTATCATTTCACCAAAGCCTACTGAAAGCAATATGTAGAATTAGAAGCAATCTCTATGAACATATAGTTATATTCTTCCCATTTAACAGAGGAGAAAATTGAGCCCCACAAACAATCAGTAATTGGCTTGCCTGAGGTCATATGGTTTAGGTAGTGCCACACCCTGAACTGGAAATGAAATTACAAGTCTTTTCTCTGTTCTTCTAAGGTTGTTTCTAGGCATCTTTTTATGGTTTGGTATTATTTTCCAGTTTGCATGAAAATAGTTTCTTCTATGTATTAAAGGGATCTATATGTGTGTATACATTTTTCCCTTTTTAGCTGATTTATTCTTGTTTTAATTTTTTTAACGTTTTTATTCATTTTTGAGAGATAGAGACAGAGCGCAAGCAGGGGAGGGGCAGAGAGAGACACACAGCATCCGAGGCAGGTTGCAGGCTCTGAGCTGTCAGCGCAGAGCCCTATGTGGGGCTCAAACTTATGAACCACACGATCATGACCTGAGCCCAAGTTAGGCGCTTAAACCAACTGAGCCACCAAAGCACCCCTTAGCTGATTTATTCTTATAAATTCTAGGAAAACAAAAACACTGTGCTTGCCAAGATTTGCAGTGGAATGGAATAAAGAAAGAAAGAAAATTAGTTCTGTTCTTCAGAACAGTTTTTCTGAGTTCATGCTGCATTACTATCAGATATCAAGGTGTCTTCTTTCTGACAAGTGGAAAAGACAGAGTATCTTTGTAACATGTTTCTCTACTGAGTAAATGTTGTTGGTAATAAGGAAGAAGCTGTTTTAATTTCTTTGTTCCTGTTAAAAAATCTCCCCAAACTATTTGTGATTTTAATATTCTGTTATATTAATTATCTGTTAATTTATTGAGCCATTTCTCTATTTTATTCTGGGTAAATAGCCAGTGTAGAATAGTTCATTTCTTTTCTTATTGAGAACTGTTTCGTTTCCACTGATTTCATAAAACCTGTTTAGTCTCTCGCCATTTTTGGAGATTATACGGCCAAATACTTAATAATCACTGTTTTTTTGCCCAGTGCTTTTTGTTGGTGTTTCTCTCTCTCTTTGGTACAGACATAAACTCCAGATTAGAGAATCTTTACTAAACCTCAGAAACAAGCTTAATGAATTAAGTGATAATGCGTTTGTTGTTGTATTAGTTAATAATCTGCTTTCACAGACTTGCAAGTATTTTGAGGGGTAAACTATTAGAGTTTATTGCTTCAAGAAACTCTATTTAGGAAAGCAACTGTGTTTAGGGTTTGCCGAACTGATATTATGTATTATGTAAACCCTTCGGTAAAGCTCATTTAAAAATATTATCCTCCTTGAAGGTTTTGGAAATTTGAACAGGAGACACTTTTCTGTGTCAGATAAAAGACTAAGGCATTTAAAGCTTAAGGCATTTTTAAATTAAGCAAGGGTGACCCATTGAGTAATCCTGTCCCAGCTAGTCTAACTGAAATTGCTAAAGAGTTTGTTGGTATTCAGAGATACATTATCTTTTCAGTATTTCATTATGATGTTTTCTCTTGTTCTTGAAGTTCTTTAATAATAACCTTGGTCTTGGGGCGCCTGGGTGGCTCAGTTGGGTAAGTGCCGGACTTTGGCTCAGGTCATGATCTCATGATTCGCGGTTTGATCCCTGCATCGGGCTCTGTGCTGGCAGCTCAGAGCCTGGAGCCTGCTTCAGATTCTGTGTCTCCCTCTCCCTCTGCCCCTCCCCGGCTTGCACTGTGTCTCTCTCACTCTCTCTCTCTCTTGAAAATAAATAAAACATTTTTAAAAATTAAAATAATAACCTTGGTCTTTATAATTTTCTTTTAGAAGTACTAGGTAGATAGTGTTAAGAGCCAGGGCAATGAAGCTAGATTGCATTCTTTCAAATTCCAGCTTTTACTACTATGCAACCCTTGGGCTAGTTACTTAACCTCTTCCTCCTAGGCTATGAAGTCGGTACCTGTTAAGGTTAAATGAATAGATTTAAGTAAAGTGTTTGGAATGGCATATAGTTAATCATGATTGTTATTGTTATCATCAGGTAGCCTACTGAGCAAGTTGCTAAGAGAAAACTCTTTCCCAACCTTCTTTGAACACATGTCTTTGTTGCTGCTTACTTGTCATTGTTTGCTCAGTATTAATGAAGGTTCAGTAAATAAATATATATATATTTCATTTTGTGAATATTTTACAACATGTGTGAGATTCTTAACCAAATGAGGTATTCTTATAGGCTATTCTCTCAGTTTTTTTGTGTGTTATTGTTATTAGTTTACATTATCTGTGCAAACCATAACAGAATTTGAGAATTGCTATTTGGGAATTTAACGTGCATTGTTATCTTCTAGCACTTACTTTCTTTGCATGGGAAGATTATTCTGCAATGACATCTATTGCTGTATCTGTTCATTCATCCAATCAGGGAACAAAAATCTAAAAATCTTGTGTTAGTTCCTTTACCAGGTTTTGGAGAAAACAGTGGGAAGCAAGGACAAATGTATTTTAGTTGGGACCCTGATAGAGAAAGGAGTAAACACAGAAATGAAAGAATAAACAGTGTAGTAAATATTATGAAGGAAACAAAGGTATGAGAGTTAATGTGGATGTGTGCCCATTTGAGATTCTAGCACAGTATACGTGGAATAGAGCAACATGAAATGAGGTAGGGAACATACTCATGGTCCAGATTATATAGAGCTTTATAGGCCATGGAAATGAATTTGGATTTGATTTTGAGCGTAATAGGAAGTCCTACAATTTCAAGGAGGGGAGTAGTATGATTTATAAGGACTCCACTCTCGTTCACATGTGAAGGATGAATTGAAGGGGACAAGAATAAAAATGGAAAGAGAAGTTAGGAGTCCATGGCAGTAGTCTAAATGAGAGATGAAAATGGCCTGGACCACAGTGGTGGCAAACAAGTGGAGAGCCGTGGGTGGATACTAAATATATTTGGAATAGGACTGGGTCCTGGATTAGATGTGAAGAGTAAGGAAATGAGAAGAGTCAAGGATGACTGTGCTTCTGGATTTAGTAACTAGGTGGAGGGTTGTGCCAAGTACTGGGAGAGGGAAGGTTTGGGAAGGACCAGGTTTATGACAAGAAGGGGGATGGGAAGGACATGTTAAATTTGAGATGCTTAGCAATCATCCAAATGTGGTATTAGGGACACAGATCTAGAGAGCAGGACCAGAAATGCAAATTCAGGTTAGTATTTTAGGGGCGCCTGGGTGGCTACATTGGTTAAGTGTCCGACTTCAGCTCAGGTCATGATCTCGCGCTTCCTGAGTTCGAGCCCCGCATCAGGGTCTGTGCTGACAGCTTAGAGCCTGGAGACTGCTTCAGATCTATGTCACCCTCTCTCTCTGCCTGCACTCCACTCACACTCTGACTCTCTCTCTCAAAAATAAACATTAAAAAAATTAAAACAAATTCAGGCTAGTATTTTAAACTACAGGACCAAATAAATCACTTGGGGTGACAGGGAAGAGGAGAGGGCCCAGGTCAGGTAAAAGAGAGCTGGCAAAGGAGGCCAAGGAGTGTTTGAAGAAAAAACAAATACACAAAAGTAATAAATTATAATTATGCTCTAGCCAAACCACCCAGTATTCTCTATATATTCCTCCTGCACAAGTTACTTGGCTTCCAATTTGATGTTAGGTTTTCTTTTTTTTTTTAATGTTTTTATTTTTTAGAGAGTGTGAGTGGGGGAAGGGCAGACACACACACACACACACACACACACACACACACACACACACACACACACACAATCTGAAGCAGGCTCCAGGCTCCCAGCTGCCAGCACAGAGCCCTATTCTACAGAGCTCTATTGGATGCTTAACCCAACTGAGCCACGCAGGAGCCCCGTGTTAGGTTAACCTATCTTCATGACTTCAGGCTTCTCAAACACACAGGCAACACTCAAAACCTACTAGTGCTTCCATGGGTCATATCAAAAAGTGGAACTAAAGTATATTGAAGTCGTTCAAATGCAAGCTACAGGATTCCTCACAAATTACTGTTATCAAGGTAGAAAAGACAAAACAGAGTTTATATCATAGATTATCAAACTATTACACAGTTTGTCTTAACAGAGCAGCTTTCCCAAGCTGCTGCATACTGATCCTAAAATTACTAGCAAGAAAAAAAACAGTATCATAAGGTTTATGTTTACATCAACTCCATGTCATAATTATTCTCCATGCTGGTATCCTCAGAAGGATCTCTATGATACAGGCGATAGTGACATATACATCTAAATCTTTCCACTCTTGATTCATCCGTGGAATGCTGGTTGAAGTAGTGATGGTTTTTAATAAACCACATCAGCCTTTCCGTTCTTTCTTTCCGAGCAGTTAACAAAGTCCTTATTCCACCCCTCCTCCTGTTGCTGAGTATTTGGTCCACAAGCTCCTGTGGTTTCTTCTCGCTGTCCTGCTGTTGGGGTGGATATTCCGGTAGAGGGGAAGGGAATTTGATACTAGGGTCGAGAGTCAATTTACTAAGGTTCTTTATTAATACCTCAGAGATAGTTTGAGAGGCAGCTGAGCTTTCCTGGGAATTCTCTTCACTGGCCATCTGAGAAGGTTCTGGGCTACAAGATGGGTAAAGCTTTGTTGGCGAATGCATTGAAAGCCTAGTTGCAGATTAATCTTCTTCTAGATCTTTGGATTCCAGTGGAAAGTGATTCTCAAGACTCAACTTGCTGCAAAGTAGCCTGGAAAGAACGATACAGCCCAGAAAAAGTGAGAAGAACCAAAACTCCAACAAACCGTAGCAAAGAAAGAACAAATGTTTATTTATTTTTGAGAGTGAGCAAGAGACAGAGCACTAGAGGAGGAGGGGCAGACAGAGAAGGAGACCTAGAATCCAGGGCAGGCCCCAGGCTCTGAGCTGTCAGTGCAAGAGCCTCGTGCGGGGCTTAAACTCAAACTGCAAGATCATGACCTGAACTGAGATTGGACACTTAACCAACTGAGCCACCCAGGCGTCCCTAAAGTCCAATAAAGTTGAAATTGTTGATCTGACTAGCCACTTCCTTATTGTTGAGTCTGATTCCTTCCAGAAACCTTCAAGTCTCCATATTGCAAAAAGCATTTAATCAAGAGAATATACAAGGTTCTCCTGCCTCTTATAAGTTTTTAAGATCCACTTACAGGAGATATTAGTACTGCTTCTATGGAGCAGAAGAATTTTCTTTAATTTCTTATTAAATAATCATAAGGATATCTCTAGGATCTCTATATCTGCAAAAATCTAATTTAGAAATTCAGATATTTGAGTTTATTAGTACCTTAGTAACTGTTGTCAAGTGTACCTCAAAGTATGCCTAGCTGATAGTATGTACTCAGTAAATATTTATTAAATGAGTAAATTTCATTGTATAATTTTATGCCAATTTATTTGTTTGTTCTTTTGACAATGGACAGTTGAGTTGTTATGACTTTTGCTATTAAGACCAGTGTAGCTAAAAATATTATTGTACCTATCAGCTCTTCACGTGCAGGAGGTTCTTTTGGCTATATGTCTAGGCATAGAATTGCTAGCAAGGATATGCCAGTATTCACCTTTTTACAAGGTGTTTTCCAAGTTCTGCTATTGTCATCTGCTTATTTTTTGCTGAAAGAATCCATGCAGAGAATGGTGTGGTGGATTATAAAATTTAGTGTTGACTTGCAAAATGGTCACAAGTTCTTCTCATCCTTTGTAGTGTGATTTTACTGTTACTGTACTCCTTGACGCTGTACTTTGCCACATGACTTGCTTTGACCAAAGGAACATTAGCAAGTGTGATACAAGCAGAGACTTGAAAAACTTGCACATTGGGCTATCTTCTCTTACGGCTCTTTAGAACTCTGAGCCCACCATGTGAAAAAAAAAAAAAAAGCCAGACTAACCTTCTGGGGCATAGGAGACCTAACACGAGGCATCCCAACTGAGACCTGCCTAGCTCAAGAGCCAAGCTAGTCCAGACCAGAATTGTCTAGCCTAACTCACAGAATCATGAGAAATATTGAATGATTTTTTTGAAGTCACTAAATTTTGGAATTATATTACTACATAGTAAAATAGACTGGATAAAAATGGTATCTTGTGATCTTGATTCATATTTTTTGATTGTCAGCGAGATCAAATAGATATCTTCATTATTGACCATGAAATACCTGTTTATGTCTTTTGCCTATTTTAGTTTTATAGAGTTATCTTTTTCTTCATATTTAAATTATTTATATAACTCTTCTGTTTCTTGGTTTGTTTCTCTTTTTCCATACATATACAAAACACCTTCATTTTTTGTTACTATAACATGTGTGTATGTATGTATATATGTACAGAGAGAGAGTCTGAACGCAAGAATTTTGTCAGATACATGTATATTGCAACTATTTTCTCTCATTCTGTGGTTTACCTTTTTGGTTTTCTTTTATTTATTTATTTATTTACTTACTTACTTACTTACTTACCTTTTTGGTTTTCCTAACAAGTTTTTAAACTTGATAAAGTACAGTTTATCAATTTTCTTTTATGGTTCTTGTTTTTTAAGCCTAAGAAATAGTTGTCCATTCCAAGATTGCAAAGATTTTCTCCTTGTTTTTTCTAGAAGGTTTATAGTATTAGTTCTTACATTTAGATCTATGATCCATTTCAAATCAGTTATTGCATTTGAAAAATAAAGGTTGATGTTCACTCTTTCATAAGAATATTCAGTTATTTTAGTACCATTTGTTGAAGAGATGTTCCTTTCACCATTGAATTGCCTTGTACCTTTGTTGAAAATTAATTGACCCAATATATGTGGGTCTAATTCTGTATTCTCTATTCTGTTTCACTGATCTATGTCTGTCCTTTTGCCAAAACCACGCTGTCATTACTGTAACTTTATAATAAATCTTGAAATCAGTTAGTGCAAGTCTTACAACTCTGGTCTTGATCCAAATTGTTTTAGCTATTCTAAGTTTTTTGCATTTCCATATAAATTTGAATCCACTGGTCACTTTTGAGTTTTTAAAAAACCTGCTTGCGTTTTGATTTAGATTGCATTAAACCTATACATCAGTTTGAGGGAAATTGTCATAATAACAATATTGAGTCTTTCAAATGATCAACATGGTATATTTCCCTGTGTATTTAGGCCCTCTGTAATTTCTTTTCTTACTGTTTTAGAATAGGTCTTGCATGTATGTTATTAAACTTACCTCTTTTTTTTTTTTAAAGTGTCCAAAATGGTTTTATTTTTTTTCCCCTCTATTTTTTTAAAAATATAGTTTATTGTCAAATTGGCTAACATACAGTACGTAAAATGTGCTCTTGGTTTTTGGGGTAGATTCCTGTGGTTCATTGCTTACATACAACACCCAGTCCTCATCCCAACATAAACTTACCTCTTAAATATTTTATGTTTCATTTAAAAATGAAATTTTTTAAAAAAGGTTTTTTTAGTGTTTATTTTTGAGAGAGAGTGTGAGTGGGGGGAGGGGCACAGAGAGAGAAGGAGACACAGAATCTGAAGCAGGCTCCAGGCTCTGAGCTGTCAGCACAAAGCAGGGCTTTGATGAATTTGATGCAGGGCTCAAACTCACAGACTGAGAGATCATGACCCAAGCCGAAGTCAGACGCTTAACCAACTGAGCCACCCCAGGTGCTCTGTAAAATTTTTAAATTTAAATTTCTAATTGTTTATTTCAGGTATATAATAGAGAGTTGGTTTTTACACCTGTGACCTTACCAAATTCATTTTTTAGTTCCAGTAGTTCTGAGCATTTTTCAGTTTTCTCTTATTTTGACCCATGAGTTATTTAAAACTGTGCATTAGCTTCTGAGTGTGTATAAATTTTATATTTTTGTTACTAAAGTTTGACACAATTTCTGAATTATCAGAGAATGTGGTCTCTGATGCCCATTCTTTGGAGTATGTTGAGACTGGTCTCTTGACTTAATCAAGGTTAAGTGGCTTTAAAAATTCATATTCTCTGACATTAGATGCTGAATCTTATATATATCCATTCCTACCCTTTATTATTGTATTTAACATTTCTTTCTCCATAATTCTACTGACTGCTGCCTTTTTTTCAATGTTTATTTTTGAGAGAGAGTGCACAAGTTGGGGAGGGGCAGAGCAAGAGAGGGAGACAGAATGCAAAGACTCCAGGCTCCGAGCTGTCAGTGCAGAACCTGACCTCACGAACTGTGAAATCATGACCTGAACCAAAGTTGGATGCTTAACTGACTGAGCCACCCAGGTGCCCCGCAACATTTTATTTCTTAATTGTATTGTTCAAATCTTTTATCTTCACTGAATATTTTTCTTTGCTTGAAATGTCAGTAACAGTTCTTTTTAAATCTACCAATACAGTGTTGGATTTATCCATTTCTCCATGTATTTTTATGTTATAAATTTTTTTAAGTTTATTTATTACTGAGCAAGAAAGGGAGAGAGAGAATTTCAGGCAGACTCTACTGTTAGTGTGGAACCTGATACAGGGCTTGTCCAGTGCTTAACCAACTGAGCCACTCATGTGCCCCTGTTATAAATTTTGCTGCTATATTGTATTAGTGCTTTCAAATTTAGAATTATTATATTTTCCTGGTGAATTGAAACTTTTATTATTATGTTCTGTGTCCCTAATAATGACTTTTGTCTTTCGTCTTATTTTCAGCCTTTCTGTGTCCTTATAAAAGAGCATGGATTTTTTAAAAATACAGTTTGCAATCTTTTTAAAGTGATTTGATAGTTTTTTAAACGATTGAGAACCCTTTAAAAAAAAAAAGTATTTGTTTTTGAGAGAGAGTTCACACACGCACACACACACAGGGGAGGGGTGGAGAGAGAATACCAAGCAGGCTCTACACTGTCAGTGCAGAGCCCCACACAGGGCTTGAACTCATAAACCATGAGATCATGACCTGAGCTGAAATGAAGAGTCAGCCACTTAACCAACTGAGCCACCCAGGCACCCCTAAAATGATAAGTTTAATCTGTTTATGTTTATTTTGATTATTGACATATTTGGACTATTCGGACTTCTTTCTATCAAGCACTATTTTGAAGCTCCCAAACTTTAGAACACATTAGATCTCATCTTTCTCTTCCATATTTATATATCATTATCCAAATGTAATTTCTTTTTAAAATTATTGTCACAGACACTATTATTATTTTATACAATACTTGGTTAAACACCCTTATTTATTGCCTACCATTAATGTCTTTATTTTATTGGGCACACAATTCTAGACTAGCTATTTTATCTCAAAACTCTGATATTATTCCATTATTTTATGGCTTTTATTGTTGCTGTTGAGAGTTCTGCTTCCATTCTAACTGTTCTTCCATTTCTTAGCAATTTGTCCTTTTTGACTTTTTTCAAGATCAAGACTTACTTTAGTGTTCTGCAATTTGACTGCAGTGTTTCTGGTTAAGACTTATTTTTATTTGTTTTACTTGGGATATATTGTACTTCCTAGATTGATGGGCTCAGTTTTGGAAATTTTAGGTCTTTATTTTTTGAATTTACATTTCTCCTATTTTTTATATTCTTTGGGTTTGCAATTAAACAAATGATAGACCTTCTCATTCTGTCTTCTGTGTCTCTTATTTGCTTATATTTTCCATCTTTGCTGCATTCTTA